GAGCTGGTCATGTCACAGGTTATTTGCATTAGAAGTAGGGGTGTGGGAAATAATCGTTTTGGCGATATATCGTGATATTCGGCTGCCCAATATAATATCGATCTTTCACTTCTTAGTATCGATTTTCACAAAAAAATGGTTACATAAAACATTGATGGGAAAATGGGCCTTCTGCACCACCACTCGGGCAGAAAGCGCTGTGGAGCCCTTTATCTTTGCATGCAGCACCAAATCTGTATTTGAGGCAGTCACAGTGGAAGAAAACCCCAAACAACATGGGTAATAATACCTAATCAATATTTTCTGATGGAAATATACAGCACTTGCTGTTTTATCTCAACATTTGATTTTTATAGCTGGGGAAAATATGGCAATATATAGTGATACTGCAATATCTTGATAATATCGTATCATGACCCAAGTATCGCGACATGTATCGAATCGCAACACTCATGCCAATACTCACCTCTAATTAGAACAAGGACAATTAGCAAGGTAGAGTGAATAGAAACTTGAAGAGGGGAGGGGGGATTGCAGGAAAACTGGAATTCTCCGGGACATCTAGTGTTAGAATATCAAATGAGTATGAGTCAATCCAACGAGCCACAAACAAAGGTAAACTATATTTCTTGAAGCAGTCAGAGATGCAACAACTGGCTGATTTCAGCTGACAGATTAAATGGTGTGAAATTAAATGGAAAAACAATTTCAGCAATAATTTCAAAGTTCTTACTTAATTTCTTTTTGAAAAATGAGCAAAGGAAGCATTTTTTTCCTTTGTGGATTTTAAGATTGTTGCCAGTTCGCCTTGACCGGATTTGATTAGAGTTTGATTTATCAATTAATTATGCGAATTGTGGGACAAATCAAACTACTACTGCTGCTGTTGTGATTGGCTAAAAAATCTTGACATGGGTGGCAGGTACCCAGTCATCTCGTAGAATTGTACTGAATCTTGCTCCCTTTTGCCAAAACTTCTTATGGGAGCTTTCCCACATTTATACATGTAGTTCAATTTGAATACTACACGGTATCAATCTGGCTTATGCCAGGATAATAAAAGAGTCTCTACTAACAACATTTGTTTGCTTGTTAAAACCAGGATCAGTAGCTATGAGAAAAGATGTCTTAAAATTTTTCTCCTTTACATATTCTTTTCTTTGTTAATCTTTTTATCATATTAACAGTGATCTCTGATGACCTAGATTAGGATCCTGTTTACACTAATATGAAAGCAGAAACCACAGGTAGGTGGTTCAACTCCAATCAAAGTATTACTTTAAAAGAAAAGGTAATTATTTATGGTTCTTAAAAAAGTAACTACAGTAGTTGCCATTTAAAATTTACCAACTTTCCATGATGGGCCCTTGGCTGGTCCCATACAATTCTTTTTTAAATTTTCATCTTTGAACTAAAATATTCTTTCTGTTATGATTTGTCAACATTAAGATCTAAAGAGATCTCCTGGTCAGACCCTGTAATTCAGTGAAAGGATGGAGTCAGAGTAAAAACATATGCAGACCCAGGAGAAGGAGGAGGTCACTCCAGTGGCTGGAAGTTGGCTGCCATTCAGCTGGCATTTGACTGGGAAGGACAATGAATAACCTAGTTACTCCATATTGAACTTATCTTTATATACAATATAATACAAATTCAGTGATGAAATATAGGATCAGTATAAGCACTACACATAAACTACATTTCTGAAATTATTTTAAACATTCATTTCTCCCTTTATTGGTGTGTGTGATTGGACAACTGAGTTACAATATAATTTTGTAGATATCCATCCATCCATTTTCCATCCTGCTTATCCCTGATGGGTTAGCAAGGGGTGCTGGTGCCTGTCTCCAGCTGTCTATGGGCGAGAGGCGGGGTACACCCTGGGCAGGTCGCCAGTCTATCACTGGGCAACATAGAGACAAACCGGACAAACAATCATTCAGGCTTACACTCACACCTAAATAGAATTTAGAGAAGTGAAATAACCTAACAGTCATGTTTTTGGACTGTAGGAGGAAGCTGAAGTACCCAGAGAGAACCCACATTCACAGGGAGAACATGCATAATCCATGCAGAAAGTCCCCGGGCCAAGAATTGAACCTGGAACCTTCTTGCTGCAAGAAAACAGTGCTACCCACTGCTCCACTGAGCAGCCCATTTTGTAGACATGATTGTTTTTTTTAAAAATAATGCAATAAAGCAAATCTGATGTTTTAGAAATTCTCATTTTTGCACGTTAGGAACCTTCGATTGGCTTTAAAATACGTTCAGTTATGCTTCAATGTTTACATACCCTTCTAGGGCTGAGCGATATAGAAAAAAAGCTTATCAATAATAAAAAATGCATATTGATCGATATCGATAATTATTGGAAAGATTTGAAACCATATTTTATGTGCAGCTCTGCCTGGACGTTTTATGATATTGCTAAATGATTTAATTTTAATAAAGAACACAAACACAGACTTCCAATTAAATCTTTATTTAACCAACTTTTTTAACCATAACAGTATTGTTTTAAAGAAAAATAACTTAAAGCTACAGTGTGTAATTTTCAGCGACATCTAACGTTCAGACTGCAGCAACATGAACATCTCCCTCCCACCGCTTCTCCCCCCCAACAGTACGGCGAGCGTTACGGGACAAAATGTCTTCCACGACGTCCTTATCATCTACCTTCTCAAGTGATGAGGTTTGTTTACATAGATAATTTTACAGATAGTATTTCATTAGTCTGTGTAGGGTATAGATTTCATGTAGACCTAAGCTAATAAATATACCCGTTATTTTTTTCTACATCGTTGTGACGTTTTGGTGAGCTGCTTTGCATGGTGATATAAACAGACGAAGTAATTGTAGTCATTAGTTTAACAGCGAGATTGTGTTCGCTGGAAGAATATATATTCCCCGTTTACAGAGTCCAAGTCTTGTTTGTGGCACGGGGGTTACAAGGCGAGGAAGAGGGCGAGGAAGAGGGCAGAGAGGCCGGGGTGGGCGTGCAGCCAGGGCCAGGCGAGGGAGAGGTGCCAGCGGGGTGACTAGAGCAGAGGAGAAAAGGCTTGAAGATCTCCAAAGGAGCCGGAGAGAAGTAACCGAGGTATATATCCAGAAAATTACTGAATCATTACCTGTGAAACGTCAGGGACGTTGCTGAATAAGTATACTGGAGAGTAACAGCATCATCACGCAGCATGTTATTGTTTTAGACAGGTCTGAGCATCCTGTACTCCAAAAACTGCAGTGATATTAGCATTTTAAAATATATTAAAACATCACATGTATTTGTCCTGTGTTTAATTTTCTCAGAGACTTATTGGGGAGATGACCCTGGAGGAGCACAGAGAGCTCACCACCCAGCTCCTGGAGAGGCAGCCAGGACTACTTTTTGATGCCCTGATGATGCATCAGCTCAGGCATGGTGCCCCACCGTTTACTGGTGTACAGGGAGTACCATGGTGTACTTGTGGTAACTGCAGGGACATGCCTACGGACCGGGAGAGGATATGCTGTGGCCAGGATCCAGCTCACTGTGTGAGCCGGCTACCTCACTTCTCCCAGTACTGCTTGGAAGAAGGTTTCTTACGTATTCATAGGCAGGACTGGGAAGAACTGACAGTATTTGGGCAAGTTAGGGGGCCTGGGGATGACAACCGGGAGTACCGTTATGCAGCATATAGGCATTTTATTTTCTGGCAACATGGGTCTTTAGGCCAGGGAAACCGTGTTGTCATCCCCAGCTGCTGTGTTTGGAGCATCAGGGACAATTTCCCTGACCCCACTGGACATTACACAGGATTCATACCAGGCATCTGAGTATTCTCCCTGGCCCTCTGGCATGTCAATACAGGACCACAAGTGCTCACAAACCTGTGTGAACATCATCAGGGCATCAAAGCTATTTTTCCTTTTTTTGTGGTTAGACTTTACTATTTTTTATTATCTTTCAAAGTATGTTCTATTTTTTTCACTGCAACTTTGTCCAGGAATTATTTTGTATTACATTATTTATTTGTAAAAGTTATTTGTTTTTGCAATTGTAAATAAAATATCAAAATTACATATACCTGTTGTATTTGTCAGTATATACATATAAGCATGGACCCATAGAAAAAGTACTTTCCTGTTATGTTTGTAAATGATAATTTCTAATTCAGGCTACACTAATGTACTTGTGTTATCACAGGGATCAGCTTTGTCCATGTAATTTTAACCCAAACACGAATCTACAAAAATAACTTATGTTGACACAGTTTATAATCTAAATAGTTTCCAAGTTAAATATTTTGGCCATCTCTTCAAATCTTGACGATATAAATAGAAACATTGTACAATCATAAACCTGCAGTTTCTAGTGTATAAATAGTTGTCAACAGCTCATTTTGTCTTCACCAGAACTGTCTTTGACAAAGACAAAAAATAAAGTATAATTTCTTGTTTGAACTGAAAGCTAAACGCTCCCTATTATCCTGTAGTTCTGCCTTCAACTGAAATTTGAATAAAAAATATAATAGCTATAAGAAAAACAGCGGATCACCAGCTATGCATCATTTATTTACTGCAGTGACATAGATATCTACACTCAATTCAATTCAGTTTATTTATATAGCGCCAAATTCACAACACATGTCATCTCAAGGCACTTTACAGTTCAACCAGATCATACAGTCAAATTGATACAAATTTTTTTATCTAAGGAAAACCAGTTGATTGCATTACATACACTTGTGCAAAAGGGGAACATATTTCCCAGCAATATCTGTACACATCTGAACTCGTTCATTACAACTTTTTTTCATGTTGTATGAAGCAGGATGTCTGAATCACATATCATCAGGTGGACTGAAGGCTGGTCCTGTTGGAGACAGTGTCATGATACAAGTATTTAGTATAGTATTGCACTGATTTCTGTTTGTGGTCAACATCTTACTTCACTTGTCATGCAAGCTATACCCCAATATGCCACAATTGAGGCAAATAAATGTGTGTGACTTTCCTAGACCTCTCCTGACTTGTGTTGGCACAAGTTCTGATGTGGCAGGTGCAGGTATGGGGGGCACCAAACCGAGCCTCCTGGCGTCATCTGGTCGAAGGCTCCGTCTTCGTGGCATCCCCACCTCAGTCACAAGTCTTCTTTTAAGAATTCGTTCCTGCAGCTCCGGGATATAGCTGTAGTTTTTTTTCAGATTTCAGGGCATACACACTGTATCTTCTGGCGTTTTTGTTGTTCAGCCTTCTGAAACTAATTAGACAGATTACAACACTTCAGAGTCAGTTTTTTTTCCCCCCCACAAACGAAAAAAATAAATAAGCTCTTTTACACAAAACATAGATTAAGAGTGTCAGTATGTGCTGTAGTTACTGGGAGTATTTAGTTGTAAGTTTATTAGACTTACATCTCTTTGCCTTCGGCTGTTTTCATTGTTGGTCAGTTCCGATGGAAGTTGTAGTCAAGAGCAGCCAGCAGAACTCTTGCCTCATAAACCGGGGGACTGAAAGCATGACACTTGCTGGCATACATCATAATATGGTTCTGGAATGCTTCTAGGTCAGCAGTTGATCTGATTGAACAGTAATTGTAAACTTCAGTCTTTGCAAAAACAACCACAGAATAGTATAATGTACACAATGTGATTTTGTGTGAAGCATTTAGATGCACTTTACCTGAAGCGTAGGTATTTATGAACATTCTTCTGCCAACGCTTATTGAGAATAATGTCTATTAAAGCTTTGTGGCATTTGGAGTCTCTCTGGATCCACTCCTTTCCATGCAGTTCTTCCAGATGTCCGTGTTCGCATTTTCCTGTTTTCCATGTGTGAATGTTGCACACATGGTGGGTGATGCCAATCCATAGTGTCTGTGTAAAAAGTAGAAAAGCACTGTCTTTTTCATAGACAAACTGTATCCTGAAATATATTAAATATGTGTGCAAATTTTCATACACATACGCACTTACAAGAAACTGCTCAGTTGTGGTTCACAATGTCTTTCAGCCAGACAAAGAGGGTTGATCGTCCTTTGATTTTTGCTGCCTTTAGGAGAAAAAAACATATATAAAAGGCAAATGACATAAGTTATTCAACCATATTACATGTAAGGGTAAAAGTAGACACATTTTAATGTTGAAGACTACACCTGATTGATTAGCTAACTTCAGTCATACTGTAGATGCCTATACAGTCATCACTTTATGATTAATGTAAATGATAAAATTTGAGCCATTTTTTAACTTACAGCTGCTATTTTTTAGCCAGGTTTTTGGCACCATGCCAAATGTCCAGACTGTGATGAATTTCAAGTGCCTTGTATTTGCCTTTAACTGGGTCTGCATAGTAGGGAAACATTCAATATCACTACAGTATTCTAGTAATGTTTCAAACAAAGGAATTCATACACTTTATCAGATAAAGCCTTACTCATAAGGGCCCCAATCTGGGCATGAGCATCAGTGCAGACCTCTACAAGCTTTATCTCTGATGTTAGCTTGTCCACAGTCTGGATAAAGCCCTCCATCTCCATGACAACAGAGTTCCAGGATGTGTGCCGCTTGTCGATGGTGGCAACATGAATGATCTCTTTGGTGTCATTCTCCATGGTGGTGTAGCTGCAGTACTGTGCACAGTGGCCTGGTGAGTCATTTCTTCCATCCGCTGAAAAAGTAACAAATACAAAAAGGCAAAAAATAAAATGATCAGCTGCTTACAATCACACTGTCCTTGTCTAATGTCTTTATTACTTGTTGAGCTATGTACCTAGAACAACAACATCTTTCCCTTGAAGGGAACTGAGGGCCTCACTCCTCCTCTCGTCCCAGAAGTCTTTTATGGTGTCAACACAGTAACTGTCCTGAATGGAGAAGAAGGTGTTCTTGTTCACCATCCCCATGTTCATAAATTTGAACCAAAGGGCAACCTTTGCATAGTTATTGCCAGACAGTAAAATGTTGGTGGACAAGAGAAAATCTCCTATTTGCATCCCAAACTTCATTTTTGCCTGGGAATTCCATCTCCACAAGCTGTGTCCTTTGGGACAGACCTAAAAGTCAAAGGCATGCGAATAAATAAATAAATAAATAAAAAATACTGGCTTCCACCAGAAAATTGTCATAGCTAAGACAACCATAATCTTATGATGTGCCACAAGGGTCAAGACTTACCCATTCCACACTTATTGCTGTCCCCTTGGTAGCGATGTTTATCTCAAACGGGGCACTGCTGTTGCAAAACGTGCCAGCCTGAAGAAGACCTGTACACTTATCCACCGGCAGGATCAGAAATGTGGCCAGTTGTTTCAAACTGTCTTCATAAACTATTGCTGCTCTGGCACCGATGTCATCCTCACAGAGGACATGCAGTGGCTGTGGGAAAGCAGGTTCTTCATTACATGGTGGCTCATCAGGAGGGTCTTCATGTGCAGGCTGATCATGTACATTTTCATCTAGTCCAATAACTGGAATTTCATCAATGGATGGCCCTTTAAGTGCTCCACCCATTCTATTGAGACACATAATGAAAGCATGTGTGCAACAAATAATTTGACAAAAAAAACTATAATACCACACAACAGTAGCAGTACAAAGAATGACTGATGACATACCGTATACAAATGGGTGGAAAATACTCTTCATCTGAGCTGTCATAATTCTTGCCATCATCACTTTTGGGATGAATGTTGGAAGAACCTTCATCTGTCCAATCGATGCTGTAAAGAAGGGGAAATTAGGGCGGGAAAGAAATAAACAAAAAAAATAAAAATCGATCACAGCACATTTAGAATAGGTAGAAAGTATCACTTACACACTATTCAACAGATCATTGAAAACATTTTCCCCCATCTCCGCCTCAACAATACTCATGTCCTGTAAGCTGTTGAAAAATAAAAATAAAATACACCAATTATAAGTTTATAAAAGAAGATGACATAGCTCAAAGATGGCACAAGTTAGCTGTTACCTTTGCTCCAGGCTCTGAATTTCTGTAGCTCCTGCAATTACATCCAAATGCTCCTCTCTGTAAAGTATAATCACAGCATGTTTCTTTACACATATGGAGAGCGACGGTAAACACTACAGAAAGCTGACTCACTTGCTATGTTATTAGCATCAGAATCTTAGAGTAGCTTTATTTATTACTGAACCAATGTCACAGTACAACAAAACTACAATCAGGTTATGAAGTGTGTTAGGACCACAATAGTTTCAGAGTGATGACTTGCCTGTCTGTGCCACTAGAAGCACCAATCATTGACAGAGCTGGGGCTGTCACAAGAGAGGGTTTTCCCTTCATCGGAGTAGACGCTGAAGGACTTCTCTCATAGCTGTAGGACCAGTGACACATCTGAGATTACAGAGTCACACACAGCTGTAATAATTGCTGTTACCGTACATGAGATGAAGCTGAGAGGAATGGCTTGCATAGACTTACAGTATTGAAATATACCTGTATACGTGATAAACAGCCATCAATACAAGTGTAAGATAAGTCCAGTGATAAGTCTGCTGCCTGGCACGTAGCTCGCTAATATGCAGCTTCATATATCTGTCTCTCTCACACGCACCCACACACACGCCACTATCAGATGTGGTAATTTTATGAAGCTGTGGCCTTATCTAGGTAATGCTACCTGACATCTTGACAATAGTTTGGTTGAAACTGGATGTGGGGGTGGGGTATTACGTGTATAAAAAGACAATTGTGTGTGTAGGATTAATTACCTGTCCAAGAGAAAACTGGCAACTTGAGCGTCACTTTGAAAACCTTTTTCCTCCATCAGTGACTTCCATCGTGTAAATGCCGTGCCAATGTTGCCAATGTTTTTTGCCGTTTCTTGTCACGCTTGCGTTTATTCTCGTCGTATTTCCGCTTCTTAGATGACGGGGGTTCGGTGTACGCCGCTTTTCGTTGTGATACAGAGTAGGCATGATCCTCCATTCGTCTGATGTTTGGCCACACAGTTTGCAAAGTCACTCACGCCTGCCGCCTTGTTCACCTTTCTTGTTACTGATGCGCCGTATACCTGCTTCTTCTTCTTCTTTTTTGGTTTCAGGCAGACTAAACGCTTCTGAGGCATAATACTGCCATCTATTGTTCAGTACCGTCTCAGTTCATCTCTCTCAACTTGCCGTAGTTACTTTCGAGCGTAATGGGCGATCTCGCAATCGCTAGTTTGTTGCCTCTGCGCTTGCCGTAGCGCAAAGATGTCTGCCTCCATGGCTGCGAGACCCGCTCCTATGTAATTATAAATAACAAATTCTAAGGCAACGCAAATATTAAGGTTAAGAGGCTGAGCTCATAGATGATGATAAATAACATAGTTATGTATAATATATTAAATTTCTGACTTTATATCCCTGTAATTATTACACACTGTAGCTTTAAGAGACCTGAGTTATGTTATTAAATACTGACAAGGAGTAAAGTAAAGTGACCAAAAAAGTGACCAAAATAAATATAACAAATAAATTATCGCCCAGCCCTATACCCTTCCATTAAAGACAGAAAAAAAATAGTCTGCAAGTAAAATAAATTGAAAACAACAAAAGTAATAATGCATAAAATGATAAAAAAAAAGAATAAATCATGGCATTATTTTGAATAAATAGGTATATATCCATATGTATATAATACATGCAAGGAGTAAACAAGCCTGTCTGAGCTTATAAACTAAAATGTTGTTGAGCAACTCTTTAAAGGTACACTATGCAACCGGTGTTGATTTTCCAGTGAGGCTCCCTCCAGAGGGCGAAAGTAAAAGTGCACTGTCGTAAATATGCTCAGCTGTTCTCCTGGTTTCTCCGTCAAGCCAGGCGCGGTTGTTTTGAGCTTAGCAGCGAATGACTAACGCTGCGTTCACACTGGATGTAGCTGGCGCGACAGAAGCAGCGAGTTTACATGCAAAGGTCCCGCGGCGCGTTTTGAGCTGCAGGCGCAGCACGTCTGAGCAGCTGAAGCAGCGCGTCGGTGCGTTTAACGCAGGGAGAGAGACACAGCGCTGATGATCACTGCTCTTAAACAGTTTATTGACGCCTAAATTAACTTAAAATGCAGAAATCTGCCGGCAGAATATGCAGTTTGGATTATTTAGATGAAAAACACCTACCAGCTGCCGCAGTGAACCGCTGCTGATGAAGGGATCCATACTGTCGGCGCATCCCTGGTATGTGGGGGTCTGAGCGGCTCCGACAGAAAAAATATTGTAAGGCAGGATAATAATCTGAATGAACTGACGGCACTGATTACGTTTTCAGGTGTATTTTCTCACTTAAAAACATATTAAAACTACTTTATTCCCACTGATCACAGCAAATATAGCTGAAAGGCAGAGAAAGGATAGTGAAGCTCTGCCCAACGCGCCTCAGACACACTTTTGCAGCCAGAGCAGCAAAGCTGCTTCAGCCGCGCGTCAGTACTAACTGGTACAAGCAGCAAAAATGAAGCAGCAGATGCGATTTTGCTGCTTTTGCTGCGTGAACGTAGCATAACTGCACAAAGATTGCCACTGTGCTAGCAACGAGAATGCTTTTAACTGGGGGGTGTAGCAGTTCTCGCCGTAAAGCAAGACTGACTCTCACGAGACTTCTGAGCCTGTGGGTGCGGGTCGGTGCTCCTGCAGTTGCAAGTGCAGTATTTCCCCCACAGACCACCAGGGCGGCCGAGAATACCTTTGTTCAACCTGAAATTACTCATTTAATCATCCAAAACGATATGGAACACATTAATTAACTGAAAAATGTTGCATAGTGTCCCTTTAAGGCAGTAATCACTGCAGTTTTGGGTTGAAGATGCCATCATTCACCTGCTTCAACAAACCCACTGTCATTTAGACAAGGTAGACAGCACTTTGAGGATCATGTTCTTGGATTTCTCCAGTGCATTTAACACCATTCAGCCTGATTCACTTTTCAGTAAATTTTGAAGTGTTAAAGTAACACTTTAAGAGTGCATTTGGTCCCACTCAGAATTAGTGTTAAATTAGAACTCTACGTAGTGTATATTTTACTCCAGTTGTTGTTTAAATATCTCTAAAAGAGTGCATCAACCCTGCTTATTTAACACTGTGGAATTTATTGTGAAACTTCAGAAGATTCAGGTGGAGGCATCAACAGTTACCTGGATCAAAGACTACCTGACAAACAGTCCACAGTTTGTTTCACTTAAGGGTCATCTGTCTAATCAATTATTCCACAGCACAGGAGCACCACAGAGGACAGCACTCTCACCATTCCTTTTTACTCTGTAACCTCTGACTTCCAGTACCAGAAAGTCCTGTTACCTGCAGGAATAATCTGATGACTCAAAGATGGCCAAGAAGCTGAGTACAGAGAACTAGTGAACTGCTTTGTGGCTTAGTGCGGAAACAATCATCCGACCCTGAATGTCAACATTTCAGAGGAAACAGGAAAAAGCTGAATCCTGTTAACATCGAGTGAGAAGAATTGCAGATAGTGTAGGAGTATAAATACCTCAGTGTTCACCTGGACAACAAACTAGACTGGAGACACAACTGTGAACCATCTACAAGAAGGGAGAGAGCAGATTCTACTTCCTAAGGAAGCTTTGGTCATTCGGCATTTGCAGCAAGATGCTGCAAAGAATGAGTTATGATTTGATGGAACTAACTTTAAACAAAAACTTGAATCCAAAGTCTAAAGGTTACGTTTTGGATAAAACTACCCCGTCATAAAAAGGAAAGTAAACACATAACATTTTGGAACAAGCATCTTGCTGTGGAGATTGAGCTACATTTTTGAGAAGTTGTATGATATAAACATCTGTAACTAAAACTCTGTTTTAACACAAACTCCCACTTTTCTGAGAGAAAGCCGCAAGTGAAAATGAGTTTAATTTTCAGCTCCAGATTGAGTCCAAGAATACTTTTAAAATTAAAATTTCCTCATTAGAGGAAAACATTGGTTTTAGAGAATGCCAAATCAGAGCATAGAACTAAAGTCAAAAGAAAGTTTTTTTTTTTTTTTTAGAAATGTACCGGAGGTTATTGTAGTTGTTCTGATTTGACCCAGGTTTTTCAGTGTAGAGCGAAGGAACAATTCAGGAGATAAGAAAGGAGTGAATAATGGCGGTTATGGTCAGGAGCAACAGCTGGATACAAATCTCACTTCAATAAATGTCCTGGATTATTATTGTGATACCAGTCTGAATGCTGATGTCTTAGTTTTACTTAACGTTTTTACGGAAATCCATCTAGTGCACTATTTAAGGATTCATAAAGTCTCTAATTTATGGAAATGTATTGTCTTTAAATACTGCACAGGCTTCTGTAGATTTTATCCTTTTAAATTATTTTATATTGTAGACAGTTTAAAGTTAAGTTTTTCTGATGTATTTACTTTTAGCAGCTTACTTTGCATCCTATAATAGTTGTATCCCATATAGTTTACAGGTAAACATGTTAATTTTTAAGTGCTACTTTGTGGCTAGATAATCACTTGGAGGTTCTTGTTAAATTGTTCTATTTAATTAGTTTGAATTATGACCTATTCTAACATAGTCACATAATTTTCACATGTCTGTATCTTCTGGTTTAGTACTTAATCCTATAGACTATTAGTTTGAAATCACTGAATTTGGGAACAATCCCAAAGTATTAACAGTTGAGCTCTAAATATTCATCGAATGTAATATCCATTTATAATTTTCCTACAGTACCTTACTATGATATTTGGCACCAACCGTGAGTCTTCCTTTAGAAAAGGTTTCAACGCAGGTTTAGCAGCATCTGTGAAGAGAAACTTAGAGCAAAGTAATTAGTGCATTGTTAATGCAAAGTGTGCAATTAAAACCTGGTCCAAGTTGTGTCTTGCAGTGTTGAGGCTGAGCTAATGTACTGAAATAAAACGTGATCTGGAAATGTTTGATCTTTTCCATTCCAACCTTAGATCGATTAATACATCCTGTTTATCAACCTTGACAGAGAATATAGTGATAATAAAGAAAAATGATCTCTTGACATTTTAAATAAAACCTGTAGATTAACTGTAGAACTGAATCTTTGCAAATAATAGCTGGTGGTTAACTGTACCAAAAATAAAGGTTCTGACAACATCCTATAGGATTCAGGATGTAACCGTTGTAATGATTTATATAACTACCGTATTTTCACGACTATAAGGCGCACTTAAACGTCTTTTTTTTTCCTCAAAATGTGCGGTGCGCCCTATGGTGCGGTGCGCCTTATGTGTGTTGTAACTGCGACTTTTGAGACCACCTCATTGAGGAGATGATGAAAGAGTGGCTGAATGTAAGGAGACCAGGTGTTTTTTTTCCACCCCTCACCATCGCTGTTAATATGTAACTCCATGCGTGCCCATCTCACAGCTGATGTGAAAAACATGGGGAAACAAATTAACGCTGTGCTCGCTGTTCAATCGCTCGACATCGGTGTGAACCG